ACATGTGGAAGCAGCCACTGTCCCTGTCCATCATTTTTAATCTATCAGTTCTGTTGGAAAATACACATTTATACATACACATATATATTTATGGAAACTTTTACTTAAAAATCAAAGATAAGCCGGGCGGTGGTGGCGCACGCCTTTAATCCCAGCACTCGGGAGACAGAGCCAGGCGGATCTCTGTGAGTTCGAGGCCAGCCTGGGCTACCAAGTGAGTTCCAGGAAAGGCGCAAAGCTACACGGAGAAACCCTGTCTCCAAAACAACAACAACCAAAAAAAAAAAAAAAAAAAAAAAAATCAAAGATAAAACACTTGTGACCTTTTACAGGGGAATAGTAAGGGGTTTCTAAGGGTATTAGTTATTACTTTATAAATGTGTGTTTTCTCTAACAATTACATTTTTAAACAAAACATTAGGGCCAAAACAAAATTGGGAGAGCTTAAAAGTAGTGGTTTGCAAACATATCTACTAAAATCCATGCTTCTTTTATAATTTTATTTTATTTTTTTATTTTTATTTATTTATTTATTTATTTATTTTTTTGGTTTTTCGAGACAGGGTTTCTCTGTGTAGCTTTGCGCCTTTCCTGGGACTCACTTGGTAGCCCAGGCTGGCCTCGAACTCACAGAGATCCGCCTGGCTCTGCCTCCCGAGTGCTGGGATTAAAGGCGTGAGCCACCACCACCCGGCCTATATTATTAATTTGGCACCTCAAATTAAAATTCTAAGGCCTACACTAAAATTCCAATTGAACAGATCTCTGGGACTATTATATTATCCGTTTGAGAGCATGAAGCTTTAAAATTGTGCTATTTTATGAAAAAATTTCTAAATGGTATGTTAGGTCCCATAACTTGTTTGAAATATACCATTCTAGTAAATATAAATTATTTTGGATTTACTCAGCAAATCTCATAGAAACAGCCCTAAAGGGACAAGTGCATGTCATCCTATAGGCTAATTGATAAAGAACTTCAGAGTTTATAAGTGATTTTCCCCCAAGAAATAATACTTACATACCAGCTTGAGAGCCAGATTTGGAGCCACAGAACTTTAATCCCAGCACTCGGGAGGCAGAGACAGGAGAATGGATCTCTGTGAGTTTGAGGCCAGCCTGGTCTACATGGCAAACCCAGGCCAGCCAGGGCTACACAGTGAGACCCTGTCCAAACAAGCAAACAACATGAAATCCAGCTTGGTTCCAGGGTATGCCCGGAAGAATGACAAATGTGGTCACTTGGCTGAGCTAAATTCAAATGGCTTCTGTCTTGTTCTTTGCGCTAGGGAGCAGAAACTCATGAGATGCAAGAGAATGAAGAACAAAGTGAGTACCCAGGGGACGAGAAGCTGGGTGTGGAGAGGACCGTGGATGCTCTCTGCTCCTGAACCTTCTCTGTCTGGGGGAGAGTCCTAACCCTAAAGCCTTTTGTCCCACACTATCCCAGACTCTCTACACGTCTTCTCCAAGACAGCGCAGGTTCAGTTTTCGTTCCTTCAATGTCAACTGTGTTTTCTATCCTCTAAAGTCATTTATCATACTCCACGTGATTCAAATGAATGTTCAGAGGATGAGGAACAAGGATAGTCAAGAGGCAACAAAGAAGTAACATTTGCAGAAGGTACTTCTGCTTTGGTTTTAAACAAAGATGTTCAAAATGAGTGTCCTGCACAGTTTATACATTCAACCCAGCTAGAGGACTGGTTAAGGGCAATGTTGCCAGGTGCCCTCCCCTGCCCCCAACATAGCAGCTTATAAACCTGCAGCCATCTAGCTGTGACTAGGAGCAGCAAAGGGCTGAGAAGAAGCGCCAAGGCAGGCGCAAGGAGTGTGATGCTGGGCAGTTCGCACCACAGAGGATCTTGCTGATTCTGTTGTTCCTCCTTCTTGAGTTCTCAGCAGCATGAATGTTGTGTGCAGGGTGGACTTCTATCTTGGGCATTTGATGATTGTCCTTCTGTGGTTCTAATTTACTGAGAAGGATAAAGGTTTTGCATATGGCATTAAAAAATAGAACCCAGCAAAATAAAATAGAAAAAATATTTTGAGGCACTGGAGCGAATCTGAATCTGGTATATAAGAGTTAAAGAAGGCATTTTAGACTGGCTTAAGTGTGTTATATAGGGACTGACTTCCACATATAGTAACTGCATCCTTCTATAAAAGCAGTAACAATCTCTTTACTCAACATAGATTCTGGAAAGTTTTCAGGACCACATTGGATGAGCTTTAATATCTCTGGAAGGCAGAAGTGAAAAGAAAGAGCAGGCGACTCCCTACCAAGTTCAAAGACTCATATTTACATGTTGGAGACAAAGGGAAATGAACTGTTTTCTAGGGTGCAAATGTAAACTGTGGGAAAGTGACCCTTTGCTCTGTGGTTACATGCAGCAGTCAATGCTGTCTCCGGAGACATGGTCTCTACTCATCTAGAGCATCAAGAGACTGAAGGCCACCCATCCACAGTCGTAGTGGCATCTGCCATCGGGAGGTTTGGGAAATAAGTGGGTGTTGCAATGGGGTTTTGGTTTGTTATTGCTGTCTTTAACAATGGTTCCAAATAGCAGAGAGAGAAAGAAAGAGAGAGACTCATCCAAACAAGGTGGACTGTTTCTTTGAAGACTGGAGAAAATGTGTGTGGATAAAAATATTGAAACCAAACAAATAAATTCATGCTTATACATGAAGTTTAAAAAGCAAACACTAAATAAAGCTTTCAAGTATGATTCTAAGCTGTATCAGGACATATGATTTAGAGGATATTAAATTGCAAATGAATTGGCTGGGATTTTCCAAAAGAAAAAGCAGAAACAATATATATGACCTATATTTCATTGATATATGATATTTACAGACTAAAAATAATACAATAAATATGTAATTTCACATTGAACAAAGAATAAGATCTAGATGTCTGAGCCAAAAGTGATGAGAAATCTGGAAAGGAGTCTTCTATTATATGAGAGTTTGTTATGTTAACAGGAAAATAATGCTAGACATTGAATTTATCCTAGAATCCAGGAATGCAAGCACCAGAATAGAGAAATTAAAAAAAACAATCCCACGACTAAATATTTTTCAAGGGAAAATAAGCTTATTTTTAAAATTTTGACAAAATAATCACAGATTATTTTAGAGACATATAAAAGTGGTAACATGAAAGGAGCATTCTTTTTCCCCTTTTAAAGCTATTCAATGTAGAATATAAAGGAACACACACCCCAAACGGAAGGCTGAAGACAGAGTGAAGAGCCAATATAAAAAGTGTTGCAAGAATATTGTCGGGAGGGTTAAAGCCTGACTAAAGGCTGAAAAACTGCCAAGGACAACAGAAAGCTATTTTAAGCTGTTTGTAGAGAAGAACAAAGGGATAGGTACATTGATTGGGGCACACAGCAAAATGTTAACAGATGTCACAGAAAACAGAACGATTCAACTTCTGTTTTGATTCTGTGGTCTCTATCAAGAAGAATGATCTTTGGACTGGAAGGGGTAGAGTGAACAGGCGGAAGAGAGAGCCAAGGCCCAGGATGAGTTCAGACACACTATGGTTGTCACCTGGCTGCTTTAGACGAGTTCAAGGCTCCAAGCCAGATGAACTCTCTGTGCAGTTAATAAGAGAGCCTGAAAATAAAACAAAAATAATCCAGATGCAACTACAGAAAACCTCACAACTGTTCTCACACACAATTATGATTGACCATGAACTAATGTGGCTACAGAAGGAAAAACGTAATTTGCAAAACCAAAAATCTGCAGAGAACATATTCCTAGTAAGATTCTAGAACTCGGGACAAGAAGTCCTATATAATGAGGGTGATTCAGAATTACTTGAATAAATGTTCCCAGTGAACACTTATTAATTAATTGGTGCAATCTGAGCGTTCTCTCCTGGCATGTGCCCTTTGCACTTTATTTTACACTTTCGTTCTTCCTTTCGTTCCTGCCTGGCTTGTGCACAGCTTTACTGTAAGATTTTCCATATTTTGAGAAAATATGTACTCTGTGCTTTATCCCAATCAGACTTAACAATCATGTACATAGTACCCACTTATGAAGCAGGTAGGCTCTGGCAATATGAGCCGGGCAAACTTAGCCCTCTTCTTTCAGTACTTATTGCTTAAAAGTGAATGACAGAGTAGATCCACACACACTATGGGGAGACATTGAAAGAAGGCATTGTGTACCAACTATTGTAAGGCACTACACTAAAGCTTTACATGTTTCATCAAATCCTCTCAAAAATCTCTGCAACAGTGTCCCGGTGACACCTGACACACAAGACCAAGTGATAGTTCAGAGAGAGATGAAATGTTATATACAGTTGTTTAACGGCTACTGGGAGAAGAAGATTCAGTTTCCTCTAGGGATGAGCTCCCACATAGGTTGTCAATCTCAACCTACTCAGCCCTGGACACATGTACATATGAACAAAGATAAATAGACTCAGTATGTCATACATATATGTTATATGTACACACACACACACACACACACACACACACACACACACACACACACACACACACGTATATCCATGCAACAGTAATTAAAGAAGAGATCATGAATTTGGAAGGAGAGAGACACAAGGGATTTGAGGCAGAGGAAGGGGCAGGAATGATGTAGATGCAGTGATCTAAAATGGCATTATCAAAAACATTATTGAATGAACAACCCATCAAAACAAAAACAAAAACAAAATGGTTCCATAAGCCTGTTGTGGACTCACACTGCAATCTCAGCACTCAGGAGGTCCAGGTAGGAGAATCACCATGCATTCAAGGACAACCTTTTATACAGAGTGAGTTCAAGACCAGTTTGGGCTAAAGTAAGATCCTGCCTTAAAAAAAAGAAAAAAAGAAACAATAAACAACTAAAACATTTACAGAAGATGTGGAGCCAGAACTCAAAGCAAGAATCATTGAATCCACACCCCTTGTTCTATTACACCACACAGTGAACAAAGGCCTACCGTTGCCCCTTCTGTAGTGGAGTACCTTGAACATTCCAGAGGTGATGCAATACTGTCCCAGAAATACTTCCCAGAGAAAACAGAAAAGAGTGCTGGAGCTTTTGAACACCCATCTTCTGGTGGATTGTTCTCAGCCTGTGTTACTAAGGCAGAGCCTAGTTGGAGAAAGAAAGGACATTGTGGGTGTGCCATTAGATGCTGTTTCTCTCTCTCTCTCTCTCTCTCTCTCTCTCTCTCTCTCTCTCTCTCTCTCTCTCTCTCCCTCTCTCATCTCTGTCTATCTGCCTGTTTGTCTCTTTCTGTGTGTATTAATGCACACACAAAGATATCCTAAAGGATATATATTATTAAATTAAAGACTATTTAAAACATAATGTTTCAGTGCAAGTTCCTTTGCCAATTTATTACCTGATTTATTCCTAACCATCAGTGTTCTCTTTTTCTCTACCTTAGTTTTCTCTCTGAACCTTCACCATATGTACTTCATTTTATGCATGAAATGAGTTCTTGTAAAGTTGTGTTATTTTTTTTCAGCAAATGAAATATTATATTAAAGATACCAGGGACGTATTCTTTTAAAAGAACCTTATGGCAAATTGCTTTGTAAAGCAAATAATGACCCTATAACCAATCTTTCTTTAAATCTAGATTTCCATATATAAGATTTGACTAAAAAAATGGTACATCTGTACTTTATTTTTACATCTGTCTGCTAGCTGTACTGCAACATAATAGTATGCCAATTTGAAATACCATAATTTTTATACTTTTCCAGTTCTCACAATGCAATCTTAGAAAATGTATTATCTTCTATATCATTCTTGCATATCCTTTCTTTTCTTTGGGGGAACTTTGGACTTTAGAGCTGTCTATCACACATACACCACTTTCCCCGAGTTTGGAGAGATCAGTAGCAGCTCATCTTTCAAAAAGCCGTAATAATGTGCCACCATTAGTGCACAGTGTTGTGTGCTTTTTTGTACGTTTAATATTTACAACAGACTCCTGGATATAAACAACTGCCTCAATTGCTTTAGAAGTCAGTAAACTAGGCATAATTGAAACTGAACTTCTGCAGGTGTCTTGCCTGTATAAAATTCATTAATTCATATCAGCTGACATATATTAACAGACACATCACACACATGTAAACACACACAGATGCATACACATAATTTGTATGGTGTTCAAAATAATGCTCTGAGATGGATACTATGAGGTAACTCCCCAAATCTATCTAAATGACACCACCACCCAGTTACTTAGAGGGTATGTGTGATATGTGTTAGTACCTAATTTATTCTTTTGAATTTAAGCACATAGTAGAGTCACCATGCAGAACATTGATTTTTCAGAATTTGTTCATTTTATATAATTGAAATTTTATATTCTTTGACCTATTCTTCACATCTCCCATGCATTTTAGGATAGCAATGTTCTAACATCTGCTTTTCTATCAGTTAAACTTTTGTAGATTACAGTATCATACAGTTTTCACCATTTTATGCTTGGTTTACTTAAATTAACAGAATGTCATCCAAGTTCATCTACATTTTCAAAATCACAGGATATTTAAAAGCTATATTTTCAATTTATTTGTTTTGTATATATGAGTGTTTACCTACACGTCTGTATGTGCACCAGGTGCATTCCTGTTGCTGAGTGAACTCAGCAGGTGGAATCAGATTCTCTTGAACTGGAGTTACAGACGACCTTTGTGAGCTGCCACATGAGTGATAGGAACTGAATCCGGGTCCTCTGCAAGAGTAGCAAGTACTCTTAACTGCTGAGCCTTCTCTGCAGCTCCCAGACAGGATATCATTTTGTAAAGCTAAATAATATTATACTTAGTGTGTTTATAAGCACACTTCACACTCTCTTCATTAGTTCATCTATGAGTGCTTCAATCCCCGCCCCCAGTCCCACATCTTCACTATGTGAATACTGCTGTAATGAACACAAGGCCACAGAGAACTCTTGAGAGATCAATTTCATTCCCTTTGGATATAAACTAAGGTAGAAGATTGCTAGGTCAGAAGCAGTTCTTAGTTTAAGTTTTGAAGGATGACATTGTTTTCTATAATGGATGTACCAATGTGCCTTCTTATCAACGATCAAAAGTTGTTTTACCTCCTTCCTTGCCAACACTTCTTCCCCTTTCCATCTGATAGTAGAAATTCTGATAGGTTTGAGATGGCTTTCATTGTGATACTGATTTGCATTTTTCTGTTGATTAATGATATAGGGAATTTTTTACATTTTTTTCACATTGCCCCTGAGTCATCTGTATTTCTTCCTTTGACATATATCTGTTCAGGCCCTTTGCCATTTTTAATTGGGCTGCTCTTCTTATGGCTGTGGAACTGCTCAAGTTCCTTCTGTATTTTGGCTATTAACCCCTTATCATATAGATGGATTGCAAATATTCTCTCATGTTCTGCAGGTTATCTTTCCACTCCGGCTATTGTTTCCTGTGCTGCAGAGCGGCTTTGTAGTTCAATGCCACTCCACTTGTCTATTTCTGCCTTTGTTACCTCTGCTTTCAGGGTCGCATCAGAAACATCGGGCCCAATGTCAAGAAGCTTCCTGTGTTTCCTTTCAGAAGTTTTAAAGTTGTAGGCATTCCATTAGTGTTTAAACTCATCTGAGTCGAATTTTGTGTGTAATGCTGGGTAGGAGTCCAATTTCATTCTATTGCATGTAAGTTTTTAGTTTTTTCTATTTATTGACAATATTGCCATTTCCCTACTGTGTGCTTAGATACACACAGTAACTACTATTGTGTGCATTTTCTTATTATTGGAATAATGAACAATTAAAAAAATTGGTCTCACAGAGAAGACAAAGTTTTGGGTGAAGGTTTGCCAATAAAAGTATTTTTATGAAAGGCCAAATTGATTCTAGTAATATCCCTGCTAGCTGCTGTCTACAATAGATATTTTCTTGTTCATTTCAGGCCTCAGTATTTTTGTCTGTGGAATGGAATACTCAGATCCACTCTGACAGACATACAAATGTCTTGCTGGCCCTCTCAGATGAGATGCTCTGCCTACTGGATGGCCTACTTAAATTTCTTAACATTTGTTCCTAGAAAGCAAGTTCACATTAACAGCATGTATATAACAAGGGACACCCATGAATTGCTAACTACATATCCAACATTTTTACAAAAGAAAATGGAAAGTAAAATTAATTCTGCCATTGTGTCTATCCTGGTGGAGGGTGCTGCCCTCCCGAGGCAGGCTTTTTCCAAAACCGAAGACATGATTTCATGACAAACAATGAGTAGTACAGCCATGATCTAGAATCTAAGAAGGAAGATGCAGGTCTTCACTAATTTGGCCAGACCATAGTTTTCAGAGATAAAAGTCCTGAGCCCAACCCTTCCATTAACAGAGTCAGCCCCCTTACATGCCTTATTCCAAGCACTTAAACACATCAGCCTTCCAAACTAGAAACAAACCAGCTTTTTATCACCTCTCTTCGGTCTCTTTCCTCTTATGATCAAGGTGACTTATAAACAGCTGTGACAGAAATGATTTTTTTCTTAAGCATCTTCTCAATAATATCTCTGAAAAAGCAGGGAGGCTAAGAGATACATGACATTCACAGATTTTGTCCCTGGAGCCACAAAATGCACATGAGCAATTTCTTTATTTGACCAAAATGAATGGTCATCACAAAAACAAATGTAACTTTGGTATCCCTGATTTGGCAGAGACAGCTTAAGGGCTCAAACTTAATAGACTTTTTCTGACCGATTAGGATCTCAGAGTGGGCTGCATCATCCTGACAGAGCCGATAGCCACATCCAAACCACAGGCACTGGGCTGCCCTTGATCCATGACCTTAGCGGACAAAATAATGGGCTGCAGAATTTCCCAAGATTCCCAAGGAAGGAAATTTGAAGTCAGTGTTCATTTTGCTTGGTGGTCTTTTAGGGAGGCAATTAGACATTAAGCATAGATTGGTGCTTAAAGAAAATGCCTAACAGTAAAAGCACATTTCTATATTCCAAAGGTCCAGGAGAAGCTATGCCTAAGAAGGGATTAGCTACTATCAGATGATATTACGACTGGATTAATGATGTTCCACATTCACTATATTTATAAAAAGAGAGGAGAAAAAGAATAGGAGTCTTTTAAGGAGCAGATAAGTGATTTCTATAAACCTTAAAAGCCAAAAGAAAACTCATTTTTTATGGAAGATAGTGGTTCTAATAGTATATTTATTTATAAATCCTTAATTGGGGTATTTTTCCCTTATAAAAGGCCCTACATTTCAAGTAAATTGCTGTTAACATTTCTCTGTGAGGCTTGAGAAAAGTGCATGTGTGTCCCTGTAAGTGTGTGCACAGAGAGAGGGCCCTCGTGTATCAACACTTTATATTCTACCAAGTGTTTTAACCATTCTTATTTTAGACAATTGTTTTTGTAATGGATATACTAAAGGTGATCATTTTGTTTTATTGCTAGTCATTGCTGACTGAAATATTTTGCCATATGAAAGTAATTACTGTGACTATATTACTTTTCTAACCTGTTCATGTTGGGTCCCAAATACTCACAGTATGAAATTCTTTTACCCTGTTTAAAGAAAAAGAGTCATTGGCTATCATGGTCTGACCTTCCTTACATAAAGACATGCGATGGTTATGCAATTTCCTTTTTCTTTTTTCTTTCACGTGTTCCCTGTACGTGTTTTTATGACTCCAGAGGTTGAAGGAACAGGCTCACATTGTGTGGCATTATGAGATGTACACTGAGAAATGAAGTAACTGACATGAATGTTATAAGTCAGGAAATGCACCAAATAATTTCAGTCATCATAGTAAATAAAAATAATCTATATCATGTCTAAAACAGGAAGGAAGGACAAAAGAAAAAGGAGAAAAGGGGAGTGGAGAAAGGAAAGAGGAGGGAGAGAAGGAAGGGAGGTGACACAGAAGGGAGGGAGAACCAGTCTTTTCAGATCTGAAGCCCTGGGCCTCCCCTGTCCAGTTCTCTTACTTCCTCCGTGCAGAATGCCGCCACATCTGGAACTCTGCCTGTTGGCTTTCTGTCCTCATCAGTTAGTGATCTGAGACCCTCACGTCCTATAGCTTCAGCCAGGCAGAGCAACAGCATTAGAGCCATAACAAAAGCACAAAGGACAG